TCTTTTGGCAAACAGTCTCACATACTAGCTGAATGAGTGTTCTCTGTTCTCTTGTTGCTCTATTAATAGTCTAATTGGTAGACTTCATGAAGTTTGACAGAACTTTGCACTTGTTGGTTCTGTACAATTGCGTCCGTTACACTTTGTTGCCCTCATACATTGTGACAGTAGTGATGTGCAGTGACTGTTGTGAGCGGACCGGTCAGTAAACTGACATCACGGAAGCTGCGGTTCACATAATGGCACCCGCCAGTAGTCGCGGCCTGTCATAGGTCCTGTCCAGACATCCTCCTTAAGATGAGGGTCATTCCCCACAGAGGGTCTGTCTCCAGAAACACCAGCACAGCCATAAACAACCCGTTGCCCTGATCTCGACGGGCCTTGCTGCCCTAACAAACGTCAATCCGATGTGCCCTCAGGCCTTTAATTAGCTGTCAATTAGTGCAAATTAATCAACTCCTCGCCTAATTAAGCAATGCCGGCAGGCAGCTTCCAAACACGCTATTGTGGGAGCTGTATGAGAAAACTGGAGCTAGCAAACTCTCTCTGCATCAGGGGGTCATTGGGCTCTTATAGCGGTTCATGAGGGAGAGAACTCTACAGTTTCCATTTTTTTTCCACCTACTCAGCACAAGGTGTTTGCCATTATCAGACTGCTGTCCTCAGTATCCGCTCTGAAAATCCTTAGTCTCAGGAAAAGGAGATTCCCAGTAGCCTTAACAGTGACTTTAAAATACACTTCAGTTTACTCCAACACAGGTTTCTTAACTTTTATAAATATTTGAGTTTGCTTTGTTAAAAGAACATTCTGGGTTCAATACAAGTTAAGCTCAGTCGACAGCACTTGTGGCATAATAGTGATTACCACAAAAAAGAATTTTTCGGCAAAAACCGAGGTTACGCTGATGCAATGGAAGTGAATGAGGCCAACATTTGGAGGATATAAAAATGGAAACGTAAAGCTTATAATTGTATAAAAGCACCTACAGTGATTCTTTATGTAGAACTTGTTTATTGTTTAAGTTGTCTTGGCGTTTTTACTGTTGCTTTAGGATTTATGGCATTGTGTTGTCATGTCATTACATTTGAAACGGTGAGTATTTTAATGTTATTTAATTACGCGTTTGCCCCGTTCACTTCCATTAAGTGCCTCACTGCAAGTTTTGTTGTTTTTAAAGAAAAGGAGGGATGGTAAATTGTAATCACAAGCAATATCGATTGAGCTTGACTTGTATCGAACATGGAATGTTTCTTAAAACATACCGTAACTACCTTTCAAAGGATTTTTTTATGTTTTTGAAGGAAATCTCTTATGCTGATCAAAAATACAGTAGTGTTGTAAAATATTCTTACAATTTAAACAAAGTATTCTATGTTAATATATTTCAAGATGTCATTTATTCCTGTAATGTCAAAGCTGAATTTTCAGCATCATTACTCCAGTCTTCAGTGTCATATAATCCTTCAGATATCATTCTATTCTGATTTGGTGCTTAAGAAAAAAATTTTTCGATGTTGAAAATAGTTGTACTGCTTAACATTTTCATGGAAACTTGGATGGATATTTTTTCAGGATTCTTTGATGAATAGAGAGTTCAAAAGGACGGTATTTATTTGGAATAGAAATCTTTTGTGACATTATACATGTCTTTGCTATCACTTTTGATCAATTTAATGCGTCTACTCTGAATAAAAGTATTGATTTCTTTAAAAAAAAAAATCTTACTGACCCAAAACATTTGACCGGTATACCAGAAATGATCACTTAACTGTATTGCATTTATTAATATATTTTCTGTTAGGTCTTGCTCAAAAATGTTTCCCTATAATTGCCCCATAAAAACATATAACAAACTAAGATATGTCACTAAAAGTGAGGGGGAGCAATAAGTATCTTCAGGCACAGTAGTGATTGTTTTCATGTTAAAAATGAATGATTGAATGATCGTAATAAATGTCACGTTAATACAATTAATGCTAAACAATATCCAGTATAATATCAGAGGTTCTGGATGAAGGGGAACATGAGTGGGGCTTTGGGGTTTCAGTTAGGAGACACTCCTTTATGCTGCTGCAGACTGTGTGTGTGTGCTTGGTGTACAAAAACAAAATGCAACATTAAAAACAATTCATCACTTCCAATACATTGCAAATACAGAATTATGACCAGAAGAGCACAAGCGATTCTTCATTTAGATTGCCTGGCATGAGAAGATCAAGCACCAGCAACCTGTGTAGGGGCCGGACTAATGCAATACAATGTCCCTATAATACAGCCCCATCCCAAAGCTCATTACCTTGCGGTGACCTTCCAGCAGCGAAAGTTCTTCGTAAAGACAAATAGCAGTCAAGCATTTCAATATAAGAGAGGTCTTTATTTGTATTCATCACATTATACAGTAATTGTTACAAGTTTGGACAAACTCTCATTTTAGCAGCTTTGAAAAAGTACACAAGGGTTGCGTCCCATATTTTTCGTGGAGGTCAAGGCAGCGGTGTAATTTGCCATCCATCTGTTTGACTAACGCAATCGCTTTTTCAGTATCTCAACTGCTTGCTTTGTGTTTGTATGGTGGATTTCACTTAAAATAAGTAGGCAATAGGCCCACAAGAGACTGAATATTCAGAGAGGGTGGTGGGGGGACAAATTTTGCAACAGCTGTTTGCCTTTTAATCTGCTACCATCAGATCTTCCAGTCTTTGATAGGCCACCCAATCTACACGAATGACTGAACTAAATCTTTCCTTAATCTATAAGGCCTTATTAGTTTGTCCTCTTATGCATGTAAATCAGGATGCAGTCATTTTCATATGTAGATGGATTATTAAAAGCCGTGGAGGGAGAGTGGGGTTTTTTGTTTTTTTTTTTTTTCCCTTTCACAATAAACAACAAAGCCCTGCACAGATTACAGCAGAAGCGGCTACGAGAGGGCAGGAAGCAGTTTGTAATTGACAGGCTGCTTTGACAGAGCGCAAGCCTTGTAAATAGATGGGTTTATCTAGAGCGGGTGATGTGTCATTAGCATATCTTGATAACATTGATTTCTTCATTACCCTTAATGAAATTTCCACTTAATGGCTTCTAATTAGTTTCAACTGGTGCCTGTGTAATTGCAGCGGTAATATTTTGCTCAGCGGCGCGGGGTTTAATGCTTTGAGGCGACGCGGCCGGAAACTCTTGCGTGAAGTTTTATTCTCTCGCACTGCTTACGCATTTGTTGTCTAAATTTGCAGATCAGTCGTTTGCTATATTCCTATATGTGATTAAACTTTACTTTTGTGTGGCTGCCAGTTTTGATGATCATCTCATGTAATTGCCATGGAGCCAGGCCAACAAAGAATTAGCATGGATGGGTAATTGAATAATGTCCCATAAGGCCACAAATCACATGGTCTTTCTGTATTTTAAGCTGTTCAAACAGGATTACAGTGCACCTTTATTAGTAAAACTCGGGGTATGGTTATTATCAGGCCTTTTCAGCATGATAAAACATCTCCTAGTGTTGGGTGTAGCTATTAATTAGCCAGAAAAGCCACAGATCAGGCGCGCTCGGGTCTGACGTTCTGCCGGTGTCGTATATGAATCATGACGTTTATTTATGCATCAGCACATGGCACTTTGATAAGATTGGTATTATCTCTGTCTCCATCAGAGGCTCGCTGCTCATTTCCATAAATTATCTCCCAGTAATTATCTGTCCAGATGTCCAAATTGTGCCACAAATTATCTGCAAAACGAATCAAAATCCCACTGTAATTTAGTAATAGCTGATTAGACCTCGGTGTATTAAAGAAACTTGGATGTAATTAGAATAAGCTATATTTTGCAGTCTGTTCAAATGGGTGCAACTATGTTTTATACGCAACAGTTCTTCTGAAAGTGCAGAATAACGTAAAATATGTACCGACTTTCCCCCTTAAATGACCTTTACCCTTTTAAATTAAACATATAACAACTCTTTGTATTATTGTAAACAAATAAAATTAGACACCCACATTTCGTGATGGCCCCCTGCTTCCAGTTGACCAAGATTAATTAAATATCAATTTAATATTCAAATGTAGTTACGCTTTACATGCGTTATATTAAGCTGATTTCCTAGAATTTCTTGTAAGAATTTTACGGTGATGTGATTATGACAAATACACCCGTTTTTCGTTTTCTGATTTTTTTTTTGGTTAAAAAAGCTGAAACTCTTGAAAATGAAATTTTGCCACTATATCTTAAAATAAACAGTAAAGCAATTTTGTCTTACAATTTTATAATTATTATAATTTGAAAATTCAATATTGTTGCCTTTTTTTCCTTTTTTTAATATAAAAAGATCAAACGGAATGCCACTTATAAACGCTTTCAAAATCATTTGTAAATAGGCTATTCTCAGAACTTGACACGTGTTTTCTTTTTTATAATCTCAGACATCATGACCCATTTATATTCATTATTTAGAGCCTTGCACTTATGATCGAAGCCTTTTATTTTAAGGCTAAAAAGAGTTTTAGCTTTTGCAAAAGAGAAATATATAGCGATAAGAATTAGCCTATAAATCCTTACAGGTTCTGTAGCCTGTCAGCTGAATCCTTCAACATCCAACAGAAATTAGCTAAGCAATCTATTTAAGTGACAAACGTTCGGCCTTATATGATTACACTATTTATTAGTTTTGTAAGACAGATTATTTATAAAATGACTAATTTGTCAGTTTTGCCTGTTTATACTTTTTTTTGTTGTTTTTTTTTTTGATTTGGTGTATCAGGCGATGCACCCTCACAATAATTTTGTATATATATTCTATATATATTCTAACATTGCTGGCGACATACATGCGTGCTGTATGGTTCCAGATGTCCTTTTCTATTTCAGACATTTTCCTAATTTCCTTTATTTTACCATGTAGATTGTTATTATTATTATTATTACTATTATTACTTAAATTGAGTAGCCTACATTTAATTCGAAATTTAATTTCGAAGTTATCTCATGGTATTTGCTAATTTTGGTTAAATGTCTGATTAACACAATTGTAAGCAAAATGTGATGTGAATGAAATGACATGATGCATAAAAAACAGGGAGAGCAGCATCCTCTATCCTCTGGAATTCTAAATCACTTACTCGCCGCTGATTGGCTGTTGAGTTTTGACCCTTGTTGGGATGGACCTGTTGGATAAAAGGAGGGATCATGCGTATTGCGCCGTGGATGCCTGTGCACAAGGGACCGACTCGTATGTGAAGAAGGGAATAGTCTCAGAGGCACCATGACAGGAAAGGATGGGGCTGTTTTGTCGGAAAGTTTGAACAAATCAAAATCAGTGTGTGCCGCTGAGAACGGGGGAAATAACAATCCACATCTGTCAAAGAGCAGCACCACACATCCGCCCAAATGCACGGGCTTCGGCATCCAGGAGATCCTGGGACTAAATAAAGAGCCGTCCTCGGCTCCGCGGAGCACACTGGACTCGTTCCCTGCCGGGGCGCACCTTCTAGCCAGCAGGTCGATGCTCGGTCCAGCTGGTGTTGGTGTTGGGGTCGGGATGGGATTAATTGGCCCTGGAGGTATTCCATCGTTCTACAGGCAGCCGGCGTTTCTTGAGGTGCTGTCAGACGCGCAGAACGTCCATCTGCAGCCGCTCAACAGGACAGTGGGACCGCTGCAAACGAACCAGTCCGCCAGCTCAGGTACACAGACCTGCGAAATTCATGTTTCAATTTCCCGAAAATCGAAATTCGATTTCTCGTTGTCATTTTTGTTAACTGAGGAGGAGAAGGCCCTAATAAACATCTAGGCTACATGTTATAGCCTACTATTCTTGTCGCGATTCTTATATTATCAAGATGAAAATGTGATTTAAAAAAAAGCCTCCAACCTGTTGCCTGTTTTATTTAAATTGTATTATTTATGATAAATTGTTATAATTTTCCTCAACAACATTTCCACATCAAAAATGTGCTTTTAAAATTAAAGGGCTATTACTGTTGCAAAACATATAATATTTCACATTTTGAATAACATTTCCCCCGATGTTACAGATTCAGAGGATGTCTCTTCAAGTGAAAGGAAAGTATCAAAATCTTCACTGAGCCAGAGCAAGAAGAGAAAAAAGAGACGACACAGGTATAGGCTTAACGCTACTAAAATTAATGTGAAATGACAGTAAAAATTACAGTATGCTAATCTACAGGATTATTTTATTAAACAACCGAAACAACAAAAGGAACGCGTCAAATTATTCTAGTCCTCTAAAACGTTTGCTTCGATGGTTTGGCAGTCATGGCCAGTTTGAAATCAACTGGAAAATAACATTTGAGGAACAGACGAACTGCGGCAAGAATGCCCAAGATCCCTGTCCCATTTTAAAAGAGCTAATTATGGATTAGAAAGATTCGTAGGTTTTAAAGGCAGTCAAAATACAGTCCTATAGTTTTTTAATAGGCTAATAATAATAATGGCAATGTCGTTGTACTAATTTGTATTTTATATCGTTATATTTTAAGAGGCATTTGGATTATATTGTATAGGAAAAAATTGGTTAAATTAAATTTAGAAATAAACATTATATTGATACATTACATTAATACATCAATATGTAATATTTCAGCATTTGTTCAGTTCTACAAATTAAAAAATAAAATGAAATAATAAGAATAATATGAAAATAATAAAATAAAACACACACACACACAATTGTATTTATATTTTAAAACCTAAAAGAAAACATGTAGTCTGGCCTCGACATTTGCGGAGGGTCCACACGATTTGAGTAGTTATTGAAATACAATTTATGCGTGATGTTTCTAATATTGATTTCCTAAGACAATTGAATGTTGTTCTTTTGTAGAACAATATTTACATCTTACCAGCTGGAAGAACTGGAGAAGGCGTTTAACGAGGCTCATTATCCGGATGTGTACGCCAGAGAAATGCTGGCCATGAAAACCGAGCTGCCCGAGGACAGAATACAGGTAGAGAGCGAACACTGAACTATTTACGCTCGCCTTTTGAATTAAATGAGAATATAAGAGAACGACAATGTGCTCTCTTCAACCACTCTTTTTTATTTATTGAATACAAAGCCTACACGAATAATTTTGCTGTATGCCACTGCATTCAGTGATCCGTTTTTGTTATTTGACGAGTAGGCTATTTGTTGTTACTGTTGTAGGCCTACAAAATAAAGTTAAAATAGTTAAAATATTCTTGGTCTTTATTGTATTTTGCTTTTACGTTAAGACTTGCCCTGTAAAATTCCTCGAATTAGCTACGTCAGCTTTTTCTCTTTGTTTCTTTCGTGTGTGTGTTTTTTTTTTTAAGGAAAATGCTTTGTGCGTTTCCTGTTTTTATAACAATATGACTAAGTTATCAGCATGTTGTTTTAGGCCTAAAAATGATTTAAAATTGAATAGGCCTATTTAGACTAAAAATTAGGAAATCGAACAGGACTAAAATTATTATATTTTAAGGATGCAATAAAACATCAATTTTGGGTTAATAGATTTCTACTCTGAGTCTAATATGACAGACGAAAAAAATTATGCCAAATCGGAACTCACTCCTGTATCTTATGTTAGAAACTGTTACTGTATCTTATGTTATACATGAAGCACCAGATGAGGTTTCTCAGATGCCTTCGGAGAACCTCTCAGTGCCTCAGATATGCTCAGGTAGCCTACTCAAGAAACTTTGAAGTGCCTCAAAACCTTTCCTCTACCGCGTGGCATTGTTGATGAATCGCGCGGAACTTGTTGGTTCCTCTGAGAACTGACCTTAGAAAGGGCGCCTAAAGGTTCTCAGGTGTCAGTGTGGTTATCTGAGGAAATGGTGCAAATAAAAGAAATGGTGTAGTATCTTTTCCGTTTGCAGTGAACCCTGTGTTGTATGTTGCGTGGATTAACCAGTGGTTTGTGGTGTAATAGTTAGTCGTTATTTTCTTGATTCACCATTTCTGTTGTGCCTATTCACCTTCTGCAGCTGAACATCAGGTGAATAGGCTATCAAAGGTGCGAATTATGGGAGTTCGAGCCCTCTAATTAGTCCATGTCGCTAATTATGGATTTTTAGATAAGTTAATATTTTTTTTCATACGTACGAATATGTTTCAACAATGTTATCAAACGTTTCTGTAATAAGTAATATCTAATAAAAGTTAGATTTTTGTCAAAGCGAGTAGAGCGATCACGGAAGTATAGCTTAACCTCTGCTCGCGATTTTTTTGCGATTAGTTTCCTGAGTTCAGTCGATAAAGTAGGCTATGACAAATAGCATCACGTAGGCCTACCACTTTATTATAAATAGCTATAGGCCCTATCCCAAATAACTTTGTCTTATAGACAACAGATGTAGCCTATCATCTATAATCGTGCCAAATTGCAAATTTGAGCCGCGGGACTATAACTAAAGAGCGCCTAGAAATTACTTTTAATATCTAATGTAATAATTTGGAAGACGTTTAATAAAAAATATATAAATAAATAAAAAAAGCCAAAATTCCTTTAAAAAAGCCCTAAAAGTCATTGTACAATTCACACACTGACTACATCGATCAAATGCAGCATCTCGGACAGATAATATCTCATCAGCCTCAGGTGGATGTGAAACAATTTGCTCTCTGAGTTTGTGTGTGTGTGTGTGTGTGTGTGTGTGTGAGAGAGAGAGAGCGAGAGAGAAAGAGAAAGGCGCTAACGACCTAATCAAGCAATCAAGTCTGAAGAAGATTACTGTGTGACCTGAACCATCCATCTGCTGGCACGCCTTTTAATTCCCTTCTCATTGCGGTGCCTCTCGGTGAATAAATAATAAGGAAATAAATAAATAATTCTATTTCAATCCAAAGTAAAATGAACATCTAATTTTCTCATCGAGTGTAATTAGTTAAATGAGAAAAGCCTCCCGTGTTCCAGGGGAAGGGATGTGGCGAGATGTGGGGAGTTTAAATGAAATAACTACATTGAATTTATTAGCACGGGTCAATGGCGCTGCTCTCTTGGGTCCTGCTCGTTTAATTTCCCGTGATATTTGCCCGCCTGTCCACCATCGATTGGGCTCGAAATTAACTTATTTTTCAATCAGCTTGTGCGTGCCCTTGGGGTCGTCTCTCATCGCTGTCTTCACCCGCTTTCTTTTGAGCGCCCGATAACCAATTTCTCCTCAAAAAGTATCTTGCATGAAATGAAGGCTATCATCATCGGCATTACCAGAAAAGATTGGAAAATGGTTTTGATAATTTCTCATCCAATGTCTGGCCTCTCTGAACCCGGGAGCCCCTCCTCCTCTCATCCGTCAGCTCTGCTAGCAGCTAGAATTAGAGAAGGGCAAGTGCTGGTTAAGCGCTGGGAGGAGAGGAGCCGCGCCGCGTCATGACAGAACTCAACCGCAGGCGTCGCGTCGTTTAGCTTAAATCGACACTATCTGGCGCCTGCCAGCTTAAACTGTTCGCTCGATTTTACGACAGGACTACATATCATATTCCAATGAGCCAATGAGAGGTGATAGTCAGCTGTGCGATATCATTGGTTAAGAATAAAAAAGAGTCTTTTCATTGGCACACATTGAAAAGATGTAAATTACATATGTTATTGTGTGACCCCTATGTAACCCTGGACCAGTCATATGGGTCAATTTTTTGAATAAATAAGCTTTCCATTGATGTATGGTTTGTTATGATAGGACAATATTTGGCCGAGATACAACTATTTGAAAATCTGGAATCTGAGGGTGCAAAAAAATCTAAATAGCCTATTGAGAAAATCGCCTTTTTAAAGTTGTCCAAATGAAGTAGGCTACTAAACAAAAAAATAAGTTTTGATATATTTGCGGTAAGAAATTTACAAAATATCTTAATGGAACATGATCTTTACTTAATATCCTAATGATTTTTGGCATAAAAGAAAAATCAATCATTTTGACCCATACAATGTTGGCTATTGCTACAAATATACACGTGCTACTTATGACTCCAGGGTCACATATTTGCAAGTTGCTAACTGTTTGTTCGATTATCTTTTCCAGACTAATTAAAAGTGTTACTTCATCCAAAACTGAAAATTATGCCATTATTTACCCACTTTCATGTTGTTCCAAACCTGTATGATTATCTTTCTTCAGTGAAACACACACACAGTTGAACAGCAGTGTTAGATAGATTGACAGCCTCACTCTCCTCACTGCATCTTTTCCTTATGAAAGTGAGTCTGTCATTAAGATATCTCAGAAGGACTGTTTGACCATCTTTACCAATATGCAAATCACATTTCATTGTGGACAGGTGTGGTTCCAAAATCGGAGGGCCAAGTGGAGAAAGCGGGAGAAGTGTTGGGGTCGTAGCAGCGTGATGGCTGAATACGGGCTCTACGGTGCCATGGTGCGTCACTCCATCCCTCTGCCTGAGTCCATACTGAAGTCTGCCAAAGATGGCGTCATGGACTCCTGTGCTCCCTGGCTTCTAGGTATGCCAGAAGATATTAAGATTGATAATTATTATTTTTTTATTATTTAAAGAAATAATTGATCTTTATTCACCATAATCATAACTATAATTTTTTTTTTTAATTGGAAATGATTTATTTTTCATTAAATGTCAAGAATGTTTTCATATAGACTCTTCTCTAAATCTTGTCTTTTATAATAATTTACAGCCTTGCTTATACTCTAAATACTGTATTTCATTTGTCACCCAGCACTGCTCAGTTTCAACAAGTTATATGAATAAACACTGCATGGTTTACTTTATATCATATCTCTACGATGCAGAATTTAATGAATTTAAACATGCTGTAAAGTAAGCAATTTGATTACATTTACAATAATGTTCTCAGTTGATAATTTAAATGTTATATTTTTATTCAGCAGATATCTTACTGAAATGTTTTAAATAGAATTTTACCACTTTTTAGAGCAATCATTTTCTGTATTACAATAACATAAGAACTAGAAATTAAAAAAAGTTTAGTCATATAATAAAATTGCTAATAAATAAATTACTTAAAGGGGTCATATGATGCGATTTCAATTTTTCCTTTCTCTTTGGAGTGTTACAAGCTCTTGGTGCATAAAGAAGATCTGTAAAGTTGCAAAGACTAAAGTCTCAAATCCAAAGAGATATTCTTTATAAAAGTTAAGAGTCAGCCACGCCTACCTAAAACGGCTCGTTCTAACACGCCCCGCTCCTTCGTCGAATCCGCCGGCCGCACCGTTCTCAAGCCCGCAGCCTTGAGTGAGCGGAGGCCGGAGGCCTAGAGTGAGCAGAGTCGATGGTGTGTGACGCTGTTTCGTTGTGAAACCGAAACTACTTTGTTTGGTCTTCCAAAAGAGGACGATATCCGCTTCGTCATGCCTAGAGCTGATCTGTGCTGGTCGCTGAGGAAATACTGTTATTTTTAGCAGCATCATATGACCCCTCTAATTATATATTTATTATTTTATGTTGTTTTATTTATCTGTGTGTTTGTAGTTAGTATATACATTTATCTTCTTCTTTTTTTTTTTTTTTTTTTTTTTCCTGGCAATTTTTTTTTTTTTAAATTTGACAGTTTGTTTGTTTTGCTACCAACCCCTCTGCATTTTTTTTGTTCTTCAAAATAAAATATAAAAAATAAATAAACATAAATCTTTAACCAATGATATTTTACAACTGACTATCACCTCTCATTGGCTACCTGTAAATAAATAAATAATTAGATAACAAGGAATTTACTTACATGATTAAATTATAATAACAAAATCTAAAAATAATCTTGCATTTTTAATGTATTCATCTTTTATTTATCCATTTATTTTTGATCAGATTAGTCATATTTTGTTACTAAATCTAAAATCTGTCTCTTGCTATTTCCAGTTCGAGATGGTTTTCCTACCACCAGCTGCTTTTCTAAACACGAATACCCACCATTCTTTGCAGGGATGCACAAGAAGTCCTTGGAGACTGCTGCAGTCCAATCAAATGAGAAGTCAGATGTCACTCAGAAACCGACCAATCCCAAGCCGGATGAAGCCGCCGAGGCTGAGGAAAGGAGGACAGAGTCACCCATATCCAAAGAGGAACTGAGGGAGAACAGTATTGCTGTTCTCAGGGCAAAAGCACAGGAGCACAGTGCCAAAGTGCTGGGAACGGTTTCCTCTGAGAGACTAGAGCACAAAATGGAGACGTCAGTGACAGAGGAGAAGTCCAGCGAACAGTTAGATGCAAAAGAAGAGGAAAAGAGTTCTTAGATTATGCACTGTAATTCATCCCTTCATAATGCCACAAAACATATAGGCTTGGTGTGAAAATATCTGGGCTGTTTTATCTTCCTCATATTCCTGCACTGATCCCATGAAAGCACTGGACTTTTGATTGATTCTCAATGTTCCTCTGCATTTTATTTTACATTAGCACGGTCAAAACCGTTTAGAAATTTTCAGTATTTTGATAGCAGCATCAGTCCATCATGCCAGTGATTAATAGCTTTTTTTTCTTCCAGCCATAAAAATTCTAGGAATAAGTATAGGGCTCCTTTATCATGTTGGCAGCCTCCTCAGTGCTGTTTGCAAAATTGCTCAATTGAATAAAACCATAAATGTGTGGATATTTATGATCTAATTTCAGTATTAAGTAATATTGTCATCAGAAAATTATTGGTCAAGAACTCCTACTGAGCTTTGAAAGCACAGAATTTACGTGCTTTTCATTTGAATTTTGTACAGTACCCCGTCTTCAAACTCTCAGTGGTAAAAAGTTGTAATAGAGTGTATTGATGTATATATTGTAAATTAAAATAGCCTGCTACAGTATTGTTTGAACTATACATTAATGTACTGTAGTCTTATGTGCTTTTTTTCGTAACATGTAAAATGTACTACAAATTATAAAAAAAGATGCACAATACTAACCTGTTTTACATCAAGTGTGTTTTAATTAAATCATAAGTGAAGGAGAACATAAAATGCATCAATTTACTTGAGCAGATTTTATGTACAGCATCGGTTTAACTGTGTTTAAGGTATCATTTTATAGCATAAAGACATATAGAGCTGTTGCACTACGGGCGTCCCGAGTTCGAATCCCGCTTTGAGGACCTTTCCCGATCCCACCCCCGCACTTCACTTCAAATACAGTACACCAAAAATAAATCTTTACAAACAGTAATTAAAATCCAAACTTGCGTTAAAATCTTTTGCAGTGCACTGAAAACAAAAAATGTTTACGCAGAAACTGCTAATAAATTTCTGTAACAATTACAAAGAAATGGCAAATGACACAGTGAATTAAACTAAAATATGAAAAGGTATTTTCTTGTAAAAAGTACTCCAATATTTGTTTTATTTACAACGAATAATTTGTAAATGTTTTTTTATAGTGTGTTTCGGGCTATGGAGCCTGAGTAACAATCGTTTGTATGTCACCTAAACAGTTGTGTGTCATTGAGCGTAATCCGACACAGTTGAGAGGCCTCAATCTGGGCAGATTAAACAGCAGGAGCGATGCATAACAGACATATGGGAGAGAGCAGGAAAGCAGCCCTAGATAAGGTGCTCTCACTGAGGCTCCTGAATTAATACCCTTTATCCTTCATGTATTCACATATACAATCATCTATCTATCTATCTATCTATCTACTTAAAAGCACTGATATTTTAAATGTAAAAGGCCCAGGATTACAATCATTCTATCTCATATTAGCAGCCTTGGATGCCTTACAATTTAAAAATCCTCACATAACAGGATAGAGAAAAGCATGGTAATTATCTTACAACTGTACATAATTAAATATTAGCCATTAAAATGTCCATGTTAAACCTAATGAATAAAAATATATAGGTCTCCCTCTGACTAATCCGTAAATTGTGAAATCAATCAGGATTTGTGCTGATTAGAAGCGTCCAAAAGGATGTTGCACGCTCTCTCTATTTCATCTGGGTTGTTGATCCTTTCCATGCCCTTATTATCAAGGCCTGTCAACAGATTATTGATACACACTGTTAATTCAATCCTAATTTAATTTACTTAGTGTCTGCGTAATTAATTAGTTGACATCTGGGGTGATAAGGCTAGGTTTACGTGGCAACAGAATATACTGTATCTCTATCCTCTTTCCTGACATCTCTGTCACCCAGTGATCCTGTCAGGCATATTAGCCTTTTACATTTCCCTGTATTGCTCTAGACATGGCTTAATAAATGAAATGTTGTTTAAACCTCAAATGGATTCCATGCTTTAATGACATAAAGCATGTTTTAATCAACACTCATTATTTATTATTTGTTTTTTTTATCTATACAAAAACTGTTTGTGACGATTACCAGTTTCTTTGTTTCAGACTTATCAAAGCTCAGGCGTCAGGCACTCTCTCTAAGAGGAATCCTGAATTAAAGTGAAGTACTTTCTAATCCCACAATGTCACTAATGGTGGCCATTAGAGGCCTGACTGAGAGACGAACTGGACTTTATCTGTGATCAGAGTTAAGATCATTTATCTTAGTGGCAAGTCCATGCTGTCTTTAGAGTGATTTCTTAATCAGATTGTGATGATCACCAAGCTGCTGTGCCGTTAGGTAAGGCAGGTAATTAGAATATCTGACAAATGTGTAAAATGAGAAAGGATATTCACTTTGATTGTATGCATGTAAAATACATCAGTCATATACATTTTAATATCAATCAAACTGATTTGAATTATTAATTGATTCCGTATCCTGCAATCTTTCCAGCTGGCTCAATGACTTCTTGCCCTGTGACTAATTTTATATTTGAATATAAATTCTAAATGATATATAGCCTAATCTATAATTCGTCTAAATAAATAAATAATGTCATTTTGAATGACACCTGCCATAATATATCATTTAAATATTACTATTCACTCATATTATTTGAAAACTCTTTGATCATTTTAAATACACTGAAAATTATTTTCTGTTTACATTTATCCGAACATTGCCGATATGCTAAACTCTTAATGCTTTACAATTTACAATCTAAATCTGTTTCTTTAGACATTCAATATGTGCTTAAATGTTGAAAACAATTCTCATCTGTCTGACTGAGTGGCATTCTTATGTAGCCTATGGTAAATGTTGTATGCATAAAAATGTTTGTTCAGTGGACTTGATCATTATAATATTAATATAGTATAGGCTAGTAGTTGCTCTGTTTGAAGGTATTTTGGCTTATTAAAATAATGGCAATAACGTGATAAGATTGATTCAGTTTGTTTTACTGATGTAGCATCATGACAAAAGAGAGAACGTAAAATGTGGATTGAGGGATGTAAAAATGGTCCCTTCCTGCCCCCTGCTGGGCATTTACTGTAATATATAGGTAATTTACCCGAATAGCCTACATTAGATTAGATTAGATTAGATTAGATTCAACTTTATTGTCATTATGCAGAGTGCAAGTACAGAGCTAATGAAATGCAGTTAGCATCTAACCAGAAGTGCAAGAATATAGTGTTTTATATACAGATAAGTGCAGAGTATGTGAAGCTATAATTTACAGTATGTACAGTGGAGTTGCTATATACAATATTAAGCAGAGTATGTACATAATATAAAAAGGTGCAATGTAGGGTTATATGTACAGTATGAACAGTAGCAACGTAAGAATAGTGATAATACAGTTGGTTGTGTGTACAATGGTATTGTTAAACAATGTATAGTCTATGCAAAATATCAGTAGTGCAATACTATTTTTATAGAAATAGATTACTGTGCTTTGTACAGTAACAACGTTAGACAGTGTACAGTGTAATATCTTGAACAATGTACAATCTGTGCAAAATATGAATAGTGCAAATACATAATTTGCTTAATAAACCCACCAATCCTACATTGATGTTTAAAAAAAAAAAACTACATTGATGTTTAGTCCAAAAAAGGGTATTCTCTACGACATAAAGGTTCAGTCATCTCAATGGAAACAAATATCATTAAGTATTTTACTCCCGAGTATAAGAACACTTTTTGTCAAGTTAGACAAACAGAACCAGCTTTCAACATAGAATCTATCACTGAGTCAGATGTGATGAGAGTGATTAGATCCCTTAGGCCATCTCGAGCTAAAGATGTCTTTGGGATGAATACATGTATGTTGATAGAGCTTTCTGAAGTATTAGTCAACCCGATTACAAAAATTGTAAATCTTTCATTTACTCATTGGATATTCCCAAATGTGTGGAAATTAGCTGCTGTAATTCCCATATTTAAAGGAGGTGATCGTCTATCCACCAGCAACTACAGACCTGTTAGTATTTTGCCCGTGGTTTCCAAAGTGGCCGAAAAACTAGTTGCAGAACAAATTATAAATCAATTAAATACCGGTGCTTATCCTATACACCCACATCAGTTTGGTTTCTGTACTAATCACTCAACCGATACAGCCAATTGCTATTTTATAGAAAAAGTTAAGTTATTGTTGGATCGAGGAGGGGTTGTCGGTGCCCTCTTCCTAGATTTAAAAAATGCCTTCGATACCATTAATCATGGAATTCTCTTATCTAAATGGAATGCATTAAATTTTTCAGTAGACACCATTAAATGGGTAGAATCATATTTAACACATCAGTCTCAGTTGGGTAGAGTGAAGAATTATCAATCAGATGTTGTTTCTTTGTCAGCAGGTGTCCCACAAGGTTCAATCTTGGGCCTACTTTTATTTTCTCTGTATGTAAATGATTTGCCAAATGTTTGATTCAATTCCAACATCTAGATGTATGCTGATGACACCCTTTTTTGTACATGCTAATAGTGCAGCTCAAACTGCTGATCAGCTAACAAGTTCAATGTTAAAGATCACGGAATGGCTAAAACATAATTGCTTACAACTAAATGTATCGAAAACTGCATGTATGTTTTTCAGTAAAACTAAAAGTTGCCGTGCGGAGTCAAATGTAGTCATAGAAGGGGACAGACTACAAGTTGTCTCAGATTTTAAATATCTGGGTGTATATATTGGGGACTGCAAAATAGCCTTCTGGCTAATTCTGGCACATTGTACATTTATGTATTATTGATGTGCATTGTCCCTGTCAAATAAACCTGAAATAAATAAAATAAAATAAACTTAAAGATTACATTATTATGACTAGCAGAATCATATTTTTACTGAACTGTGACGGAAACAGGCTTATGAATGCATGTTGGGTTAAAAATGGAGATTTGTGAAATGTGTAATATTCATACATTCATACAATAACAGAATAATACAGAGGTTTCTGTCTGTCTGTCTGTCTATCTATCTATGTATAAGCAGCACTGGTATTTTGAATTAAATAAGCCTTGAATTAATCATATAATTGTAATTTTATTTGTGAAATGTGTAAAATACACACCATTCATAGGAATTAACCAGCAAAAGGGACAATTTTGACTAAAATGTGTCCCAAAATGTAGTATTTCTTAACTCAAATTGTGTTTCTTAATCAGTCAATATATATATATTTTATAAATTATATCACAAACTTTTGGAACAAATAAAATCAAAGAAATGTGTTCACGCCCAAACAAGATTATTTTCCTTAAATTATTAGAAATAGTTTCCAATGTGAAGGCAGCCAGGAACGTTAACAGGGTAAAGAGAAATGAGAGAACGGCGCGCTAAAAGCGGAAATGACGTATCTTGTTGTTACCCATCCTCCGTTCTATCGTCATTGATGGCATGGACGGGAAAACCAATTGCCTGGCTACCGTTACCTTCGCGAGCGTCTCTGGATTATAACATTTTCCCACCTTTGAAATGGTTTGTACCGGGCTTTGAACCAATCTCGCAAATATTACTCACATCTTGAGCATTAATCGTCTGCAAACAAACGGCCGCTTCTCGCGCTCTTGAGAGGATTCCTACGTCAGCTAGCAAGTTTTGCTCCTGTAACG